GCGGGCGCGGAGCGTGGGAGCCATGGCGCGCGAGGAGGAGCGGGACGCCGAGTGCCGGGAGCCGGCGGCGCGGGCGAGCGGCGAGGAGGAGGAGGAGGAGGAGGAGGGAGGGGAGGAGGGACTGAGCGAGAGCGACGACGAGGGCGAAGGCGAGGAGACGGGCAGCGGCGAGGAGGAGGTGGAGGAGGCGGAGGCGGAGGCGGAGGCGGCGGCCGGGTGGGAGCGCAGCGAGGACGCGCGGTTGCTGCGCGCAGGACTGCCTCCCGCCGCCGTCCCCGCCGCGGCCGCCCGCGACAGGAGCGGCCGCCGCCCGCCGGGGCCGCCGCCCGGCCGCCCGAGGATGCCGCCGCCCGGCGACGAGGACCGCGCGCGCCGCCGCCGCCGCCGCCGCCGGCGGAGGGACCTTCTGCTGAGCCAGCTCTGCTTCCTGGCCTCGGTGGCGCTGCTGCTCTGGTCGCTGTCGAGCCTGCGGGAGCAGAAGGGTGAGTGCTCGCCGCCTGCCCCGAGTGGGCGCTGCGGCTTCGGCGGCGCGGGGTTCGGGGTTTCGAGGGCTCCGGGGATCGGGGGTTCCGGGGCTGGACGCGGGGCAGCCCCAACGTGCAGCCCAGCCGGAGCCGCGGGGCGGGCAGGCTGGGTCAGCGGGAGGGGGAGCCGGGCACGAGGACTCCCCCTGTCCCCGCAGGGGCTCAGGAGGAGGGAACCCCGTGCGCCTGGACCGTGCGGCGGAGAAGGGGCCGGCGAGCTTGGGCGCCCGCTGCCCTTCCCATCGTTACCTCTGCTCCTGCCTCTACGCTTGTCACTCGCGAGCTGGAGGGACTGGTGGTGGCCGTGGTGGGGAGACGTGCCCTCAACAAGCCCTCCCCCAAGGACACCGACAAAGTTGTCCTGGAAGATTCGGTACCTGTGCAGGTAACCACCTGTACACTTCTTGGCTCGCTGGAGGATTGAGGGGGACTGGGAAGCACACGGTTGTCAGAATGTTCTCCACCTGGAACAGGCGGGATGGAAAGCTCTCTACCCGCCTTTTAGAGCAGGTGCTGGGAACTTCGGGTGGAGAAAAAGTGTTGGCCAGCCAGCTCAGGGCTAGGAGTAGACTTGTTCTCTTAAACTGATCATTCACTGGGAGAACGTGGACTCCTTCCCACGTCCCCGTTGCAGACTTGCTGCTGAGAAAGAAAGGATTTGTGGCAGACCACCCATCACTCTGTCCACTCCTGTCCATTCCTGCTCTGGGGTCCTTTCACCCATAACTTTTGTCTTGTCTTTGTCCTTGGCCTTTCTTGAGCTGAAATAGGTCTCGTGGAGAACATGTGCTCAGCACAGTTGTCCGCTGAAAACAATTTGGACCCTGGGGTGCAGCTGTATTTTTTTTAAAAAAAGAAAAGAAAAAAAATACGACGAAAAGACTTGGAAGAATAACTGTTGTAAATGGCTTTATATCCCGGCCCTTGAAGGGGCACAGCTCGTGGGAAGACAGCCATGTAAGTGGTTGTGAGAAAAAACAGTTACAAATGTGTGCTGTGGTGTTAAGACAGACATAGCTTGAATACAGGGTGTCATGAGGTGCAGAATAAAGGCGTTTTGACAGTGAGAGTAAGATATTTTTGAAGGCGCCATCCATTTAAAAAGGGGTCTCCCCCAGCCTGGCTGGTCTCCTACTTCATGGTGAAACCGGTTGGTGGGTGGGTCTCCTGCAGGTCTCAGCAGACCTCTTGACAGACTTCATCATATATGGTAATGGAGAGAGAGTTCGTCCTGGTCTTCAGTGAAGCCATACAAGACTCCTCAGCTCCCTCCACAGCTCCTGGATTCCTCTGGCCCTGGGTTCTGACATGAGCAAGGGGCTGTGTGGGTGTGAGGGACACAGGACATTGCTCCAAGGGCAGATGCAAACCTGCCAGACATCAGTCTACCAACAGTCTCACTAAGAGGGTTTTCATGAACGCCCTTTTTATCTTCCCAGTTTTTATGAGTGAAAGGCCAGTTTCCGGTTCATGCCACCTTTGGAAAGGGCTATTCCAAGAGTTGATGGCATGCCGGCCATTTTTTCCAACATACTGGGGCTCTATGAATCATAGAGTTCCCACCACTTTCTAGGATATAAAGATATATTTTTTTTCTGGATGAAGGATGTGGCCCATACAGTTAAGTCTGTCAACGGCAGGGGGCTGCCTGGGCTCTGGTAAGCTGGGATGTTCTGGGGGAGGGGGTGTGAGAGACTGCAAACTTGAAACCTGGTGGCTAGAATGTCATTTTGAAATGGTTTCCCTGGCAGTGACATTTCTGTTCAGGTCCAGTGGACTCAGATTTGGTTCTGTGGCACAGGCCTTTTCCCCATTCTTCCCTTGCTCTCTAACCCCTCTCATCCCTGTTGGGTTTAGGAAGACCATGCCTATCCCCACACCCAACAGCAGTAAAGGAGGAGGATGCCAGCCTTCTTTGAGTTGAACTGGTCCCTAATCACCTTTCCTCCCTTGAGATATTGATGATTTCTGTATGCAGTGCACAGTAGCATTTTGCATCAAGACACAGGCTTTCCAAGATAATTTTTAACATATTAATGAACGCATGTGAATCTGCCAAAGATTATTTTGCTTGGGAAATTATCATTCAGCATACCTAAACATTCTAAATGGTGACGTTTACCCTGGAAACTCTGTTTCATGCTCTTTTCCGTGTGAATACTGAAGCTTGGAGTTTTTTAGCCTTGTTTCGAAGTGCTTGTGACTTAGAGAGGCTAAGTGATTGACTTGAGGTCACACAGCAATTGAAGAGTAGAGAGAGAAAAAAAAAAAACCTGAGGTGACCTGCTGGCTTTTTGTTCTCACCTCTGTTCCTTGGTCTTCAAGCTATACCACTGGGGTGCAGCTTTGTAGTATTTACATAATCCCGTAAGGAGTACCTTTATAATGATGAAAGATATTTTTATTTATTTACCCTGAAAGCCATGCAATGATTGTTAAATGCAAGTTCTCAGAAGCTTTCCTAACACATATTGATTTTTCTCCCTCTTCCTCCCTCTTTCTCTCTCTATCTTCCTCCCTTCTCTCTTACCCTGTTTCATTCCTTCTTAGAAAGGACAGTTCTATGACCAAAGCAAAATAGAGGTGTGTGCTAGTTATGTTATATAATGTTGTGTAACGTTTCTAATCATATGGAATCTGAGGTCTAACCAAACTCAGATTCGGTTATATGCTGAAAAGTTTCAGTTATGTACTGAAAAGGTTTTCAGTATATTCAGTATTGGGTTATAAGTAGTCTGGACAAGAATTCTATATGGATGCTTTTCTGCTGAGAGGGAACATGAAGATTGCTTAATTTAGGTCAGGCGGGGTTAGTGTTAGAGTCAAGAAAAATGTTAATTTTGACAACAACAAAAACAGTAATAATAACCAGAATTTGGTGGGTACTTGAATGTCAGGTACTATACTAAGAACACTTTATACATCTTGCTTTATTTAATCTGCAAACACTCTTTAGACACACGAGCCTTCTGTGGAGGACAAAGACCAGCCCTGGGTGCCCTATTTAGTTGTTACGGATGAAGGTCTCATTTTGATCTCTGTTTTCAAAGCCAATTGAAATAAGATGCTAGATTTGCTACAGAGAGTTATCATTTCTTTTTGCAGGGAGAATGGATAACTTTTGTATATTTTGAATGGTGTAAAAGTGTTTAACGTTTTTTTGATGTAGACTACCAGGCCATCTTTTTCCAGAAGTAGTGTGGATAAAGCCCAGGAATTCTAACTCAAGTGCCATTATAGATATCCTTTCTAGAAGGTTCTCAGGGAAGTGAATAGTGATTAAGAAATATTCTCACACACATGTGCATATATGTACACATACTCATGTGTGCATGTGTGTGTGTGTGTGTGTGTATTAAAAACTTGGAGAGTCTTTCTGTCCCAGTTGCTATCACTGTATAGCAAATCACCCCAAAACAGTGGGATAAAGCAGCCATTTTACTTTTTTGCTCATGAATCCTTTGAGTCAGAAATTTGAACAGGTGGTGGTGGGGCTGTCTTGTCTCTGCTCTATGATGTCTAGGGCCTCAGCTGGAAAGATGGCAAGGCTGGGGGACCGACCTCCTGGATCCGGAGTCATCCGAAGCAACATGATCCCATGTCTGGGGCTGATGCTGCTGTTCACTGGGCCAGAGCACATCCACATGGCCTCTCTGTGTGGCCCCTCTTGTGGCTCGGTTTGAATTCTTTTCAGAGCATGACAGCTGGGTTCCAAGGGCAAGTGTCCCAGGAGGGTGGAAGTGCATGGCATTGTCACGTCCCATCCTGAGAAATCACAGAGTGTCATTTCCACTGTTTTGTGTTGGTCAAGGCAGTGGCCTGTGTCAGCGCAGGAGAAGGAGAAGGGCCTAGACACCCCTACTCAATCATCCGAGGAGTGTGGGAATCACAATGTAAGAGCCTCTGTGATAGGAGGCATGGCTGTGGCTGCCTTTGGAAAATCCAAGGACCTAAAGGGGTCGGAGCTTAGGCGTGACTGTAGACCTTACCCAAGGTGGTCAGTGGTGAATACAGCATATATACATGCATGCATATATGCACATACATGTGGATATACATATAAGGGAGACCCAAAAAACTGGAATTATCTTTTGGAGGGTGGGCCCCTTGTAGTACAGGCATCCCCCACTAGGTGAGTGTTCTAGGAACCCATTGGCATCAGTGTACCAGCTGGCATTGTTGTAAGAGACTGTGAGTGCACCTGCCTACACCACACAGAGTGTTCAGCAATTTTTGACCCCAAACGGCATGACCCCCCTTGCCTCACACTCCCTATTCACCCAATCTCACTCTGAGTGACTGTTTTTTTGTTTTTCTGGATGAAAAAAGTGCTCAAAGAGAAACGTTTTGCCAATGCGGAAGAGGTTAAAACAACAACAATAACAACAAACGGCAGAAGCACTAAAGGCATCAAAGTGGATGAGTTCAAAAACTGTTTTGAACAGTGGAAAAAGCATCTCGATAGGTATATTGCATCAAATGAAGAGAATTTTGAAGGTAACTGAAATTTAAACATGTATGAACAAATACACACTTTTTATAAATAAATTCCAGGTTTTTTGGATTCCCCCTTATATACATGACTATATACACTATCTTTGAAATACCTTATCCATGTGAAAATATTGCTGCTCATCTTTAACTGGAGTGGGGTTCAGAAGTGGCACCTGGAAAGCGTGCTGCTGTGGAGATGTGAACTGCGAACTTAAATTGTAGATCCATGAGCCTGTCAGTGTCTTTGGGGCTTCCCATTCCTCAGAGAGCAATGATCACAGCCTTTTGATCCTTCAAGTGGCTTTGCATGAGGTCTTGCTGGGCTCTTCAACTTCATCTTCTTGCCTTTTCTTTCTACACTTCCTGCTCTGGCTCTTCCAAAGGACAATACCCCTTTGGTCTCAGATCCCCAGTACGTTCTGGTCCCACTTTCTGGGACTGTTGTGTCCACCACAGCTGGTGAA